TGTTGTCGTTGTGTCTTATATCCACAAGGCAATGCCCGGACGAGGAGAGTTGTTTATTACGAACAACGGCGAAGGTATCGATAAACTGGAGTATATGAAACAAAATGTCTTATTTGGAACAGGTCAACACGATTCACAAAAGCGCTGAGGGGATAATTATCGGAACGGTCCGACGGTAGATGCGTATTTTCTATAGTTAAAATTTTGAACACAGTAATTCGTTCTAGCAGGTTTTGTGCATTTTTAACCGTTGTAAGAAACCGCAAATCACAGTTCTGCGCAATTAAAACATACTACTCACAAATGCGAGTAGTAGTAGTAGTACCGTAACCGGGCAGTAAAAAAAGATTCNACGGTAGCGGAGAGAACAACAAAAAAGACCGAATCTAATAACTGACCTGCTAAAATCTTCTTTAGAGAATGGAGGCCTGATGGAGAGATGAAAAGCGGCATCGAGGACAGAGGATTCCATAAATTGTGAACTAGAGTCCGGATAACTCCCGGTGGGATCATTATCATTAGCATCTTTCACGCCAGAGAATGCATTACGCAAGGCGGTTTCCAATTCGGAAACAGTCGCACAACGGGATTCCAAATCAGTCGGATGTGAACGAGCCACAAGTAAAGCGCGCTGAACCATAGACTGGTTAGCTATATGCGCTTTCAGGGGCAAAGGGAGTGGGATCTGGTGAGCAATTGGTTCACACGGGGAGGGAGGAGGAGGAGGAAGCGATTGTTTGGATGCACACCACGGTCTATCATCTGAGACAAAAGTCACACCGAGTTGGGCTAATGCGTTTAGCAATTCGCGGTTGATAGCCGCGGCGGTCGTGGCTGTATGGGGTAGCCAGTGAACGACCGGACGAATCCAGTTAGCCGGTTGGCCACGTTGGTACCAAGAAGCGGTGGAAACAAGCTCATCCATCTGACGATAGAGACATGCGGCACGAGATGAGGAGGCTTCACCTTCAACGACAAAATGAATTGAAAGTACAGGAAGAACAGTGGTGAACCGGAGACAATGTAAATACCGACAAAACAATAAGAGAACGTTTAGGACCAGAGCGATTAGGAATTCAGTATGTGCATGTGCCTATGAACACGTTTGGGATTCGATTTTGAAGGACAATGATAAATTGAGATTTCTCAACCGTGAAAAATGTCAGCGCCTAGCAGGTCAGCCACAGTTTCAATCACATTGGTGTTCCACGAAAAACAGAATTATCCAACTCAGTAAGAATGCACAAGCACTTCGCTTGGTCTTTTGATGGAAGTTCGTGTCCCGATAAGCGGTCACATCGGGCAGGTCCGATGTGCATGTGCGTACTGACACTCATCCCAGCATGTATAATTCTTTTGTCAACTACTGCATTCGATCGGGTAGACAAAACACAGCCACCAAAACTGTGGCGCGCGAAAGTATCATCATCACTGTGCAGCAAAATACAGTGAAGCGAACTTAACTGATCGCTGCCAAACTCACAATATATACAAGGCTAGTGAGAATATGTAAGGAGGACAGTGGTTGAGCCTATTTTGAGGGACAGGAAAACAAGGCGAAACCCAATGGTCAACACACAGTGTACACAGTCCAACCATGTATGCGCATACATACTATTTCTGTTCTGATTTGAAATGACAACCAGATCGCCATTGCTGTCGGTTCGCAGCCATGACCTTTAGTGTCTCCAACCATGCGATTACGGAGTCTTTTGGACTTCAACCCGAAAGACGAGAGACACCAACTCTATCTAATCGCTCTGTGCATTTCTTCATGCCTCGTCTCCACTCCATCTGCTGGTCTCCACATGGCTTTATCCAGTCTGCAACAGCCACTGAAAATAAGTTACGGTGCGGTGGGCGAACGTCGGACATAGGCAAAACGTGTCCTAACCAACGGAGCTTATTGAGCTTAATTCCGGTGCCATAGCGAGCTCTTGTTCTATCTCCCCGAACACTCAACAACTTACGCCCAAGTTACTAACCCGCTCACTCCATCCAACCTAGGCCATACTACGTAAGTATCGATTGTCGAACACTACTAAACGCAGGATATCTTCTACCCGCAGATTCAAAGTCTCGCAACGGTAAAGCAGAACTGATCGTAGAATGAGTGGCACAGAATACGCGACTTTTCAACTTCAGTGAAACGTCACGTTGTCGCCACAGATGTATAAGTCCTGTGTACACTGCTCGAGCCTTGGATAAAGCATACGCGAAAGTATACGCTTAGTAGTTACACAAACTGAACGGAAAATGACCTGAAACACTAGCCACACGTAACTGACTCAAAACGAGAATTAAAAACTTATTCTCATAAGTTTACCCAGGACCTGAGTGGAAGATCTGATTTGATGGGATACATTCGACGGGGGAGCGGATAACAGCGAGTGTTCCCCTTTAGTTTCCGTCGGACCAAATGAACAGAGCGACACAGGGGAAAGGATGGTATCCATGCAACTAAGACTAGAACTAAAACAAGGGATGGTTGCAAATGAAGAACGGTTGATGAAAAAATGGACAAAAAAGATTGTCCCTGTTTTCCTTATATTCTTCTGACATTTTTCCACTGCTTTTTGGTCGTTTTTACGGGATTTCAACAACCAGTACAACATTTACGTCACCGATGTGTGTTATGGGGTATATCTATGAGTCTCCGACCAACGATAATTATCATTACTTGAGTCCCAGCCTGGGAGGAAGGAAGCATCAATCGAAGCTAACTTCTCTTTGCTCAAACGCCAGATCATGATCTCCCTGGTGCATCGATTCGTCTAATTTTGTACAGTAAAGAGAAGACGGAGAGATAGACTATTGGCAGGCATACGCACACTGTGATTGAGCCAGTAGAGACGGTGTAGAGCCATTTCTCCTTTTAGAGAACGAGCATCAGTAC